CAAAATAAACATCTGAAATATATGAGTTTGTATGTAATGTATGAATATAATATACAAGTTTCACTTTTTAAATGGAATTACTGAAATCAATCTACTTTTTCATGATATTCTAATTTTATGACCAGCACCTGTAAATGGAGGCGGACATCTGGAAGGCAGACTAACAGGACTTTGAGGGTCAGAGTTTTAGCTGATAGATGTTCAAATACTGATTAACAGCTTAATCATAGACATAGTAAAAACCTTTGCATTGTGATTTTTATAGATTATGTATCTCACAGCAGACATGCACCTATGATATTTTCAGACCCTCCATGATTTCTAAGTTTGAGAATTTGTAAAATAGCAGGGTGTTCAGGTACTTATTCTCCTCACTGTACTGTGTGGCAATATGGAGTAACGTCTATAAAACCTCACAGCGACGGAAGGCAGGATTCCACCATCATGCTAACGTTATACAGTCCTGTCTCCTCCAGATAACATCTGGAAGAATAAGTTTCACTTCTTCATTCACCTTTTCAGACAATTTACATCATCAATAATAAATGAATCAATGATCATTATTCATGATCAGTGTCAGATCTAAGGCTACATATACTGGTTTAGTTTATTAGTGGAACATTTTATTAGCTTTCTGTGTTCAAATGAAAAAAATTTATTTGGAATTAAAAATTTTATTTTAATGTTCAACCAGAAATCAATCACCTATTTTGAGTGGCACATGGTTATTTTTACAAATATTTTCTAAAATTTATTAATCTATTTTTTTTATTGTTAATAGTTTGAAATATTTTTCATTCATTCATAAATAAGGAAATAAAATAAGATTGGATATAGGTCTATAATTGACCAAGTCATCTGGGTCAAGAGACGGTTTCTTAAGCAGAGGTTTAATTACAGCAATCTTAAAAGCTTTAGGTACATATCCCTGTAACAGAGATAGATTAATCACATCTAAAATGGAGGAGGAGATCAAAGGGAATACCTCCTTAAATAACCTGGTTGGAACTGGATCTAACATACAAGTTGAAGGCTTAGATGAAGACAATAATTTTGCTAATTCAGAGAGTTCAACTGGATCAAAGCAGTCTAAACCCGGTTCAGATTCCATGACTACCTCAGGTACAATCGCGGATAGAGGAGTGCTTATGATCTTATTTTTAATAAGATCAATCTTATTTATAAAGAATCCCATAAAATCATTGCTGCTAAGAGCAGGTGGAATGGACGGTTCAACAGAGCTATGGCTCTGGGTGAGTTTGGCAACTGTATTAAAAAGAAATCTAGGATTATTCTTATTCTCCTCTATTAATGAGGAGAAGTATGCTGCTCTCGCTTTACAAAGGGTCCTCTTATACAGCAGTAAACCATTTTTCCAGACTAGGAAGGACTCTCGCAGGCCTGTGGAGCGATATTTTCTCTCCAGTTTCCTAGCATTTTGCTTCAAAGTACGCAGCTCTGCATTAAACCAAGGAGCAAGCTTTCTATTTTTAACGGTTTTCATTTTCAAAGGAGCTGCGCTGTCTAAGGCAATACGCAGAGAACTAGCAACCCCATCAACAAAATCATCAACCTGTGAAGGGGAATAAGCTAAGCTTTTAGCACAAGATCCAAAGTATGAAGATGAGAATGTGTGGGACTATTCACATTTTGAACAAAGCCAATAGTGTCTAAGATAGCATTAAAGGCTGCTCTTAAGCTATCGCCTTCAATGTCAGCATGGATGTTGGAGCTTGGCCTGTTTCTCTGACTGTGACTAACTGGATGTGCTCTCTTCGTCCTCTGACATGGGAGCTGGCTCGGAGCTCGTCTGCCTGGCTGTGTGTTTCCTGGACGGGGCCGCCTGTGGAGCTGGTTGACAGTTGCCTTTTGTATCTATGCTTCTTTTTCTATGTCTGCTTCTGTCTCCTTGAACCCCAGTGGGCCTCAGCAGATGGCCGCTCACACTGAGCCTGGTTCTGCTGGAGGTTTCTTCCTGTTCAAAGGGAGTTTTTCCTCTCCACTGTCGCTACAAGCATGCTTAGTGTGAGGGATTGCTGAAGAGTCAATGAGTCGATGCAATCGGCTGGTTTTCCTTACATAGAAAACTTTGAATCAATCTGACTGGATGATCTGGTGAACTGGAAAGTGACCTGAGATGACATGTGTTGGGAATTTGCTGCTATATAAATAAACTGAATTGAATTGGATGTTAAAATCTCCCACTATGATGACCCTGTCAGTATTTAATACCAAATCAGAAAGGAACTCTGAAAACTCATCTAAACATTCAGAGTAAGGACCTGGTGGACGATACAAAGTTACAAAAAGAAGAGGTTTTCTTGCCTTGAAATTTGGATGAGGGAAATTAAGGGTTAAATGATCAAAGAGTTGTAGGTATTAACTGTTTTGGGAGTAATCAGTAAGTCAGACTGAAAGATATATTTTTGTATCTCTGCTTGTTTCTTTGAACCCCATTCAGCCTCAGCAGATGGCCACTCACACTGAGCCTTAGATTCTCTGCAAGCTCTGCACTGGTGGCTCCAGCAGTCATGATCATACATTGATGGGAGTTCCCAGTCACATAAACGTTTAAAGGAGGTAAACATTTTCTGGGGTAATGTTCTTGGGAACTGCTTCGTTTCAGTTAGTCTTTGCTGGAACGTCTGTCAACTGATTCCTGATCCCAGCTGAAGGCGAACCAGCAGGACCGAGAGATGATCAGGAAGCTTTGACCTTCAGGCAGGTGGAGCTCAGGACCTGAACGGACCTCAGGATCCGGACATGTACTGGAGCGAACCGGTTCTGATCAACTAAAGCATCTTCACATTAAAGGAACCAGACTGGGTTCATCCAGAGGAACGTTCAGAACCTCCCAGTGACGCTCAGCTCTAACAGCAGGTTTGGGTTGGAGGCAGCGGATCAAATGAGGAAAGAAAGACAGGACAACAAGGCGGTTGAAAGTACAAATGAAATCTTTAAGAATTTTTCCTTTTCAAAGAAATGAAGCCGATCATCCGCCTGGCCTGCTACAGTCTTCAGCTTCATCTACAGTACACAACGTTTCAGGAAAACATGCTGGACTTTCAACATACTTTTGCTTTAAAACATTTTATTTGGGTAAAATCTTAATGAGCACAGCTGAGTCGTCCCCATGCAGTGCAGCAGCCTAGAGGCTAATACAGAAAGCAAAGAACATCTAAGCTCCAGCTTCTCCACAGATGGAGCAACAAGCCTGTTGTTCTCAGACCTGCTCCACCTTCCTGGAGACTCTGAGGCATCTAATATGCAAAGAACAAGAGAATAAACCACATGTTTGTTTCTTTAAGGGTTGCCATGTGCCAGACATCGACTAGAAGAACAGAAACTGGTCGAATTAGACTAAAGATTAATATAGCTCTCAGTGGGAACGGCACTGATGAGCTCTGGAAATTTCTTTGCTCGTTAGAAAGCTTAACTCCAAACCTTGGCATGTTTGCTCAGATCCACGTGGAATTTTGACGTCCAATCAGTAAAGTCCGATAGATGGCGGCCATGCGGAGGCCTCTGAAACAGCGGTGGACTTTAGACAGTGAGTCCTTTAAAAAGCTCACACTACCCCCGAACATAGAAACTTCACGCATACAGGTGATATTTAACATTCAAGTGCCAGTGTTTTTATCTACTGTCTTTTGGTCAAGTTTCTGAAACTTTCAAAGAATCACTTTGAGGCTTACAAAAATAAATATTTGTCGAAAATGCTTAATAAATTACACAAAACTAGCAGCAAAAGTAGAATCTAGAAATCTGTGCAAATGGCTAAATCCCCCCCCACTGTTAACCCCCTGGTCCCAAATAAATCCTGGATTTGAACGACTTCCCTTCCCCTGTAAACAAGCTGCGCTTTCCTCTAACTCCTCCCACTTTTGGAAGCTTAAGGACATATCAGAGACATCCGTATAAAACTCTAGATGTGCAATAAAACAACTTTAGTAAAACTTGACGGGCTCCACGTCCGCCGCTACGCGCCCACGCAGTAGCACCGCCAGCCGCGGCCGCCGCTAAAGAAAAACGGTTTGAAGGCACGTCACAGCCGCTCCTCAGAGAGGAAACGATTTCCTGATTCCACGATGATCCGTAGAGAACGCCTGTAAACCTGGCCCCGCCCACCCCGCTGCTCTGACCCTTCCGTTGGAGTGCTGCTCTCCCCCCGCCCGTTTTCCTGGTGGTTCAGTGAACCCGCTCCGATATGGCCCCCCCCAGCGATGGACCCAGCCTCCAACGCAGCTTGAAAAGAGAAAATGTTTGTAATTAAGTTAAGCCTGCGACTCCGTTCACGCGTCCTTTCTCCTTGACCAAAAAACAAAACACTTGCAAGCGTAGAATACCGCGGGGGCCTCACCGCCCCCCCCCCCCAATGCCGTGGTCCTTTGTGCAGCCATTTTGAACGGCAGGCGTTTCCACATCAGTAGAGAAACAAGAAGAAACCAGAGTCAGTTTTTCTAAATTTGCAGCCGGCTGCAGCAGAAACTCCTCCAGTAAAAAGCAACAGAAACACCTGGAGAAGCTAGCGGCGGCTAACGAACGCGCTAGCTGCCGTAACACCGCCGAGTCGATCGGAACCCGGACTCCAGCATCGGTTTCCTGTCTGAGCCTCAGCGTCGTTGGCACTGAGCTTAATGTGGATTAAGATCCCGTCAGGAACGTGAGCAGAAACCCAGCGGGACTCCGCCCCCTTTGGATTAAAACAGGGGCCTCCCAGAGGGGCCCCCCCACAGGGGCCTAATGGTGGCTCCGTTAGCCGTCTGACGGTAGAAAAGGCTACATGATGGTAGAAATTTGACTTTGCCAAGGTTTAAGTCAAAGCTTTTTTCTTTTTAAACTAAATATTTAAACTAATTCAGATTCTTTGCTGCCTTGTTCATCTGGTGAAATCCTGTTTAAATTCAAAAAGGCGCAGTACATCAACATACCGGGTTTAATGTACTGTCAGTGAAGCTACACAGGGAGGGTCGTTATAGTCTGGCTTAAGTCAACATGTGGTTTCCATCAGGTTGTCATGACAACCTCTTCCTATGGCGTCTAGTTCCCCCACCAATCCACGCTCCCAGAGGGGTTGTAGTTTCCTCCGTAGCCGTCGCTGTAGAAGTTGCCACCGAAGCCACCTGAGGAGGAGGGTTCAAAGGTCAGACGAGGTCAACGCATCAGAAGGTGGAACCGGCGGCGAGCCGCTCACCTCCAAAGCCACGGTTTCCTCCAGTGTTGCGTCCTGAGCGGTTTCCAGCGAAGCCTCCAGAACCACCGGAGGACTGACGGTAATCTTTGGCTCCAAAACCCCCGGAGAACCTGAGAGACAGAGAGGTAAGCCGATCAGGCGTCTGAAGACCAACAACGATGGCGTCACCAGCGGCACGGCGGCCATTACCTCTTGGATCGTCCGCGGCTGGAGCTCTTGTGCTGGTGTTCATAGGCCAGGCTCTCCAGCCAGGAGGGAACCTCTTGCTTGGCCTCCACCAGGATGTCCAGCAGGTCTTTGGTTATGTTGCTGTTTTTGTCGTTAAAGAACGACGTGGCCAAACCTGGACGGAGAGCAGACATGACATCATCGCCTCTAAAACGCTAACCCCCCCCCGCCCAGCAGAGAACCAGCTCTCACCAAGGTTTCCCACACGTCCCGTACGGCCGATACGGTGAACGTACTCCTCGATGTCGCTGGGCAGGTCAAAGTTGATCACATGCTTCACGTTGCTGATGTCCAGACCTCGCGCCGCCACCTGGAGGGAGGGAGGGAACAGCGAGGAGAAGCTCAGTCGGCTGCCGACCCAAACCACAGATCCGCTCTCCAGGCTGGGGGGGGGGGGCTTACCGCTGTAGCCACCAGGATGGGGCAGCGTCCGGAGCGGAACTGATGCAAAGCTTCTTCTCGGTCCCGCTGGGAGCGGTCTCCATGGATACTGGTGCAGGCGTAGCCCTCCCGGTACAGGAAGTCCTCCAGGGCGTCGGCTCCTTTCTTGGTCTCCACAAACACCAGAGTCAGCGAGTCTTTGCCTGCGGCGTCAGAGGGGAGAGAAAACGGCCGCAGATAAAGAAGCAGCAGAAAGATTCCGCCATCCGACCTGAACCTTTGATTGGCTGAAAATTAAAGACATGTTGCTTCCATGATCCTCAGTGGGCAGCTGATCTGAGCCCTGCGTAGATCCAGAGCAGCTAGAAGGTCAGATCTGCAGCTGATCTGAGCCCTGTGTAGATCTAGAGCAGCTAGAAGGTCAGATCTGCAGCTGATCTGAGCCCTGCGTAGATCCAGAGCAGCTAGAAGGTCAGATCTGCAGCTGATCTGAGCCCTGTGTAGATCCAGAGCAGCTAGAAGGTCAGATCTGCAGCTGATCTGAGCCCTGTGTAGATCTAGAGCAGCTAGAAGGTCAGATCTGCAGCTGATCTGAGCCCTGCGTAGATCCAGAGCAGCTAGAAGGTCAGATCTGCAGCTGATCTGAGCCCTGTGTAGATCCAGAGCAGCTAGAAGGTCAGATCTGCAGCTGATCTGAGCCCTGTGTAGATCTAGAGCAGCTAGAAGGTCAGATCTGCAGCTGATCTGAGCCCTGCGTAGATCCAGAGCAGCTAGAAGGTCAGATCTGCAGCTGATCTGAGCCCTGTGTAGATCCAGAGCAGCTAGAAGGTCAGATCTGCAGCTGATCTGAGCCCTGTGTAGATCTAGAGCAGCTAGAAGGTCAGATCTGCAGCTGATCTGAGCCCTGCGTAGATCCAGAGCAGCTAGAAGGTCAGATCTGCAGCTGATCTGAGCCCTGTGTAGATCCAGAGCAGCTAGAAGGTCAGATCTGCAGCTGATCTGAGCCCTGTGTAGATCCAGAGCAGCTAGAAGGTCAGATCTGCAGCTGATCTGAGCCCTGCGTAGATCCAGAGCAGCTAGAAGGTCAGATCTGCAGCTGATCTGAGCCCTGCGTAGATCCAGAGCAGCTAGAAGGTCAGATCTGCAGCTGATCTGAGCCCTGTGTAGATCTAGAGCAGCTAGAAGGTCAGATCTGCAGCTGATCTGAGCCCTGTGTAGATCTAGAGCAGCTAGAAGGTCAGATCTGCAGCTGATCTGAGCCCTGCGTAGATCCAGAGCAGCTAGAAGGTCAGATCTGCAGCTGATCTGAGCCCTGCGTAGATCCAGAGCAGCTAGAAGGTCAGATCTGCAGCTGATCTGAGCCCTGTGTAGATCTAGAGCAGCTAGAAGGTCAGATCTGCAGCTGATCTGAGCCCTGCGTAGATCCAGAGCAGCTAGAAGGTCAGATCTGCAGCTGATCTGAGCCCTGTGTAGATCTAGAGCAGCTAGAAGGTCAGATCTGCAGCTGATCTGAGCCCTGCGTAGATCTAGAGCAGCTAGAAGGTCAGATCTGCAGCTGATCTGAGCCCTGTGTAGATCTAGAGCAGCTAGAAGGTCAGATCTGCAGCTGATCTGAGCCCTGCGTAGATCCAGAGCAGCTAGAAGGTCAGATCTGCAGCTGATCTGAGCCCTGCGTAGATCCAGAGCAGCTAGAAGGTCAGATCTGCAGCTGATCTGAGCCCTGTGTAGATCTAGAGCAGCTAGAAGGTCAGATCTGCAGCTGATCTGAGCCCTGCGTAGATCCAGAGCAGCTAGAAGGTCAGATCTGCAGCTGATCTGAGCCCTGCGTAGATCCAGAGCAGCTAGAAGGTCAGATCTGCAGCTGATCTGAGCCCTGTGTAGATCCAGAGCAGCTAGAAGGTCAGATCTGCAGCTGATCTGAGCCCTGCGTAGATCCAGAGCAGCTAGAAGGTCAGATCTGCAGCTGATCTGAGCCCTGTGTAGATCTAGAGCAGCTAGAAGGTCAGATCTGCAGCTGATCTGAGCCCTGCGTAGATCCAGAGCAGCTAGAAGGTCAGATCTGCAGCTGATCTGAGCCCTGCGTAGATCCAGAGCAGCTAGAAGGTCAGATCTGCAGCTGATCTGAGCCCTGTGTAGATCCAGAGCAGCTAGAAGGTCAGATCTGCAGCTGATCTGAGCCCTGTGTAGATCTAGAGCAGCTAGAAGGTCAGATCTGCAGCTGATCTGAGCCCTGCGTAGATCCAGAGCAGCTAGAAGGTCAGATCTGCAGCTGATCTGAGCCCTGTGTAGATCCAGAGCAGCTAGAAGGTCAGATCTGCAGCTGATCTGAGCCCTGCGTAGATCCAGAGCAGCTAGAAGGTCAGATCTGCAGCTGATCTGAGCCCTGCGTAGATCCAGAGCAGCTAGAAGGTCAGATCTGCAGCTGATCTGAGCCCTGTGTAGATCCAGAGCAGCTAGAAGGTCAGATCTGCAGCTGATCTGAGCCCTGCGTAGATCCAGAGCAGCTAGAAGGTCAGATCTGCAGCTGATCTGAGCCCTGCGTAGATCCAGAGCAGCTAGAAGGTCAGATCTGCAGCTCCTTACCGGTAGCGTTGAGCAGGTCCAGCAGGAAGGACCTCTTGTCGTTCTCCTCCACCCAGACCACCTTCTGCGTGATGTTCTCTGAGGTGGAACCCACTCGCCCCACAGCCAGGAAGATGTAGTCCTCCAGGAAGTCCCGGGCTAAGATCTGCGGGGAGATGGAACCATGAGAACCGTTCCCATGGAAACGGGGGGCATGGGCCTCGGCCCGGCGGACCCACCTGGATTTCTTTGGGGAAGGTGGCGCTGAACATCATGGTCTGGCGGATGCCCTTAGGCGGCATGGTGTCCTGCTCCACGATGCGTCTGATCTGCGGCTCGAAGCCCATGTCCAGCATGCGGTCGGCCTCGTCCAGGACCAGGTAGCTGCAGAAAAAGCCCGTTAGCCACCATCAGAACCTGGATCCTAAGCTCCGCCCGGTCCATACTGACTTGCAGTGGTCCAGGCCGATCTTGCCCCTCTCCATCATGTCCACCAGACGTCCCGGTGTGGCCACCAGCAGATGGCAGCCTCTCTCCAGTTCCCGGATCTGCTGGCCGATGTCGGCGCCGCCGTACACCACGCAGGGACGCACATGGGAGCGGTAAGCAAACTGCAGCCATGCAGGAACAGGTTTAGTGATGATGTCATCGTGACTGAGAGCTTAGATGATGGAGGAGGCCGACTCACCTTCCTGGCCTCGTCGTAGATCTGCAGGGCCAGCTCTCTGGTTGGAGCCAGGACCAGGGAGATGGGGTACTGCTTCCGGCGGCCGTACCGTCCGTTGTCCTGGGGAGGGAAGACGGATTCATTAGAACCAGAACGCCTCATCAGAGCAGCTCCTCTGGCGCTCAGCCTCTACCTGTCCGCTGCTTTTGGACGCCTGCAGAGCGTCTCCTGGACCTTCGGTGTAGATCTGACTCAGAACCGGCAGCAGGAAGGCGGCTGTTTTACCGGAGCCTGAAACGGACCCGATAGAAGCTGTTAGAACCAGAACCAGCAGCAGAATCCCATCCAGCCCACAAACACTGACCAGTCTGGGCGCACGCCATCAGGTCTCTCTTGTTCTTGATGATGGGAATGGCATACTTCTGGACCGGGGTGGGCCTGGTGTAGCGGGTCAGGGAGATGTTCCCCATGATGATCTCCCCCATGTCCACATCATGGAACTGCAGAAAAACAGGCAGCGTTAGAGCGAAGCCTCGGAGGAGACGGCGACAGTGGCCGCGTGCGGAAACCTACGCTCTCGATGTGCGGCGGGCAGTTGGACCCGGTGGCCTCCACAGGAATATCATCGTACTTCTCAAAGTTTATCCCCGTGTTGCTTCCAGAGAACAGCTCACTGGAAGCACAGCACAGTTCGTTAGTCAGGGGGGTGGGGTCATTTGGGGGCGGGGTCAGTGAGGGTCAGACGCGGAGCGTCCGGCAGGAGCAACGGGTCTTACTTTTCCAGACGCTCGTTGGGCGCTGTGGGCTTGGACCAGTCGTCCTCTCTGGAGTCCTCCACCCAGCGGCTGTTTCCTCCTCCACCGAATCCTCCGCGCTCGTATCTGTAGAACATTCAGAGGTTTTTATCGGACTGGGGGGGGGCGCCGATGGTGCGGACTGACGGCTGTTACCCACCTCCCCCTGGAGCCGGCGCCGCGGTCGCTGTAGAAGTTAGACTTGGAGCGATCGTTGCGTCCTCCGAAGCTGTTGTAGGCAGCGTCTCTGGGAGCCCCCCCCCAGCCCCCCTCCTTGTTCTCGTAGCCTCCAAAGCCTGTATGGATGAAACGGCGTCATTGATGGACCCTGAGCCGGTGCTGGCCAATCAGCTGTCAGACGCCAGGAGGCGTCTGCTGCTTACCAACACTGGAGACGCCAGATTCCCTTAAAGCAAACTGCTGTTAATCTGAATTCATCGTCATGACTACAGACATGGTTAGCAACACAAACAAGGGCAGTCTGTGTGTGTGGGGGTGCAGCCTGACTTTGTGTGTGTGTGTGAGGGGGGGGCAGTCTCTGTGTGGGGGTGGGGGGGTAAAAGAACAGCAAATCCACACCTGAACTCTGCATTGGCTGATTAAAGGAGCCTCCACCCCTGTTACCACGGTAGGCGCCACGCCCACCTCTGTCGTTGCGAGGGGGTCCGCGGCCTCCAAACCCCCCATTAGCACGGTTGTCATGGAAACCATTCACGGATCCGTTGGTGCGTCCTCCGTCCCATCCAGGCGAGTCTTTATGTGAACAAAGAGGAGAGAGGAAGTTAGAAAGAGGCGTGAGCTGCTGGACCAATCAGAACCAGGCCACCGCCGTTAGCACGCTGTTAGCACGCTCAGGTTGACTGGTTTGACCGCCGGCTCTGCCTTCAGCGCCACTCGGCCCAAACATCAACCGAACAACCGAGGATCTTTGGAGAAACGCTTGTAGATCAACAGCCAATCAGAACCCTCCATCTTAAGCCTGGCGTACACTTCGCCATTTTCCAGACGTGAGAGTATTTTTCTATCGGCCCGACTTTCAGCCTGATCGTGCGTCGCGTAGTGATCAGGGGGTTACGAGCGAATACTCCGTCTCCTTTTCTTTCTAGGACCCTCAGCAGAAAATTGCAGAAATGGCCGCGGCAGCGCGGGTCACTATAGTGAGCTTCATGTCTGATGTGGTTTTTAGTCGCAGTGTACGGCGGGCTTTAGACGCCATTAGTAAGCACACACCAAGCCTTTAGCTCACACAGCCAATGGACTCCATGTTAACGGCTAGTTAGGCTGCAGGACAGAGGCCGGTTCCTGCATGGTGGGCAGCAGGCGCCTCGTCCAGAGACCCTTCTAAAGGATCCAGACTTGCTGCATTGCCGCCGCCAGCCGCCCACATGATGCAGGGAATCAGGCTCCTCTCCAAGCTGTGACCCCTTTAGGCCACACACCCCCGAGGGCAGCTCTACACGCCGACATGCAGGTGAAGGTCAGAGTATACCGCTTCTGCTCCGCCAGCCGCCGCTGAAGGCATGGTAGAAGGCCAGCTCCTGGGAGGCCATAGGGGGGTAACCTGAGCAGAGGTAGGGAGGGGCCTTAGGACGGAGAGGCCGACCATGCAGCGGTTCCACTCAGCGCAATAGTTACCGGCGGTAACGTCCTCCCATCCTGACGGACAGCTGCCACCCTGAGCCTGCTGACCATCAGCCTGCCACCGCTGCTGCAGCTTGAGGCCATCTTGGAGAACATCGCAGGCATCAACAGCGTAGAAGAAAAAAAACAAAACAAAGCTACGTTTCCCACCATGACATGAAGGGGGAGGGGCTTAGGTGGGGCTGCAAGCATTCAGCAAAGAGAAGCGCAGCGATTAACCAGAGACCAGAGTCTGTCTTCTAGCTCCTCCCTTCAAACAGACTTTGCTGATGTGTGAAACTGTTATTTCATGCATCTAGAAATGCAACTCGCTGACAGAAGGAACTTACAGAAATTTAGAGGCGCCACTGAATAACCGCACTGTTTAGCAGCGGGATAACAATTTCCTGCTGTGGAACAAGAAAACAGTGAGAAGGTCAAGAGTGCAGCGACACGGCACCATCATCATCATCCATGATTCAGCCTTTATCAGAGCTGCTAACTGCTAGCGCTCCTGTGCTTCACACAGCCAGGAGCTGAGCTGAAGCCCCCATCCTCCCTGCTGCTGCAGTCTGGGGGACATTAAAGGCTGGAGCAGACATCGTTCCACCTGACCTACTTTAGACGCACCAACATCCACCCAGAAAACCTTCACCACGGCTGCTCATTCTGTGCACCGATTGGTCCTCAGGACATTTTAACAGCGGCTCGCTCTGATGGCTGCTTAGGATCCATTTCTACAAGTTAAAAACTCACCGTTTTTCCCTGCATCTTTGTTCCTCAGGTGAGGTGGAATGTAGCGCCCTGGAAGAAACAAACGCTGGTTAGCAACAACCGGCAGCAGAAGACGAGTTCCACCTACATGAAAACTCAGCTGTTTTAAAGTTATGTTCCCAGAATCATTGAAACAGATCCAACCCCCCCCCCAGATGCTTGGGTCTCATTTCAGAGCAACGGGACGTTACTTACTGCCAGTTCCTCCGCCCTGACCGTCAGCGTTCAAGTCTAGCACAGCGAGCTGCAAAAGAAAAAACAATCAAGAATTTATTTACAAAGAGAAATTACATTTTCACCTCAGTTCCCAAAATTTAGTAAATACACTGCTTTATTAAGTTTATTGATTTAATAGATTATGATGCATTTTATTACTGATGTTCACTTTACTTAATATAAATATTGGGATTTATCATAATTAATGGATTATTAATATAATCCTGAACTCATTTAGTCATCGATTAATTAATAACTGGAGTATAGAGGCTGTAAAACAGGCCTTTAGCTGAAAGAGTCCAAAGATGTTAAATTCAAGATAAAAACCGTTTTCTGATTGTTAACCCCTTGAACCCTACGGACCCACCGGCGGGTCCAGCTGCTACGTGACCTGGTAGTTTTACCAAACCCCCAGTATTGATGTAAAAAACACATTTGGCAGTTTGGTGACATTTATGGATAAATGTGCCAAAATGGCCTCTCCGCCTAAGAAATTTCTCACTAATACCATTCTAAAATAAATATGATTCATCTGATTGAGTCCAAATTTGGTATATTTTTACACAACATTTAGATTTGAAAGTCTGTACTACTTTTTTGTGCTATAAATAATATTTTGCTAGTGTTTTGCCATGTTTATTTCAAAGAAAATTTTGGCGAGGTTCAAAAAATGCAAAATATTTTGTATTTTGTCCCTAATATTTCAGGCAGGGTCAAAGCTACAATGGTGCTGACACCAGAAAACCATTCTATGACATCTTACCTTTACAGACGTACCAAAAGTTTCTTCTTAAATCTAATAGCTTTGAGGCTATACGTTATTTACTTTTGTGTGTTTTTGTCAGGCAGAAATTTATTTATACCCCCTTAGGGTGTAAGAGGTTAATCTGCTCTATAATCCAGAGCTTCTAATTTAGTAAAAGTCTTCTTTAAGCAACCTCTGGCCGTCGGATTATTAATCAATTTATCTAATAAGTAATCAACAGATTGATCAATTTGCTAAATAATAGTTTCAGGCCTAATAAATATAAAATACATGGAAATTTTCCATGTATTTTATACATGGGGGGGGGGGTAAATGAGGGGCTGATCAGGAGCAGCAAAACATCTGGAAATCATTACTGCTGAGAAATGAACTGGATGGAAAAAAACTGACTCATAGACAGAAACTAGGTCAAAGGAATGAGTCACATTTACAATTAAATAATCGGAGGAAAAACTGTTTAACTGGAGTAATTCCATCCGAATATACAGAGAAATGTAATCAGATTACTGAGGAATCGGATTACCGAGGGGCCCCAGGGGGTCCATGGGCCCCAAACCCCGATGCCAACATTTCCTCCTGCGCCACGTTTCGGGCTCATTCAGGCCTCATTAGCCGGCCGGCTGCCTGCCTGCCAGCTAATGCTGCTGCTCCACCGGTCATTCCTCTCAGTAACGGCCGCTCGGAATAAAGATTCATCAGCAAATGATCGTTTCTGATCATTTTAAAGTTTAAAACTCGGTCGGAGAGCAGAAAGCGGCCCACCGGAACAACATGTTCCGCCATCATGGTCCTCTCTGCTGCGACTTCAGCCTCCATTTTAGCAGCAACAGCTTAGCCTAGCCACTGCTAGCTTAGCCATAGCTAGCTTAGCCTAGCCACTGCTAGCCTAGCTTAGCTAGCCCCCTTTCTCCCCAGAAACACTAACGGGTTTAAACATCCTAACCTTTATGTGGATAAAGTTTTATTTTTCTTACCTGCTGATCCAGACCGTGCGGAGCATCAACGACCACATGACTCATAACTAAAGACAATTTTGGGGATTATCGCTGAAGAGAAACTAGCTTCTTTGTTAGCACAACCGGATGATCTGAGACGGCAAAAAAAAAAAAAATGGCTCCTTCTTTTCTGGGAAAAAATACGATAGATGAGCGTTAAAGAAGGCAGCGCGTTCGTTTTATTTAGTTAAATAAAAATACTTTATGAAAAGAAATCTAAATTCTAATTCCGAATGAAAGTAAAGCGGAGCTGCTGGACTGAACCTCCTCCGGTAAACTGGACAGCGGCGGAATGAGACTCTGGCAGCTCAGGTACCGCGAGATGTCACCTCTGTAACCTTGGGCCTGCGGGCTGCTGACCAAATATCGCGATGTTTCCGCATGCTCTCAGGAGAAAATGGCTTTTCTCTTTAATTATGAAAGTAGCATCAACGCAAAGACATAAAACAGGTTTATCAACTGCGAAACGGATGATGGCAGAAAAATATGAAACTGAAACTAAAGAAAATAAATTAAAACCAATAGTTTAGCTTTAAATCATATTCTTCGGTAAACAAGCAAAGTTTGAGGCCATTTTTTGATGGATTCTATAAAGAGTTCATAGACAGGAAGTCAACATGAAATGCTGGAAACATTTTGGTTGAAAATAATATTGGAGAGTGATTGTCCTGGATGAGAGCAAATATGTCTTACAGCAAACATGATGAACTTTAGGGAACAACTGACAGCAGCCCTCAAAGCCTCTACATAAATGCAATAAAAATAATTAAAAAAATAGTTGTTCAGTTTTATTAATGGCATCACAGAAATCACAGTTTTAAGTCTCAGTATTTCCATATAAATCACTAAATGGATAAACAACATCCAGTGTTTTATGTTAGTTTCTTCCACAAGGAAAAAAAAAAGCAGAAAACTGAACCATTAAATCAAACATCTGCTAAAGATTTTCAACATCAACACTTAAATAAACACATAAATGAAATACTCTCTTAGGAAAAAAAGTATTTGACAACATTTAACAAAGGTGATGGATGTAATTCACCCATTTTATTCCATCTTTATTTCATTTATCTTTGCAAAGCTGAGAAAACAGTTCCTGACATAAAGCTGGATGTTCTGCTTTGCTCCGATTAAAGTTCCCCTCACTAACTCTTGCAGGAAGCATCTGAAGGTCTCCACATACAGTTAATAAAACAATCACAAAAAGTTGAGGAAAATACATTTTTTTTATAAATAAACCCTGAGAAATGATTATTAATCCCAAACAGGATAAATAAAATCAATACATCCTGTAGCCTTGCAGCTGTGAGCTAAAACTTTTAGAGATTAAAGAAAATATTCTGAACGGATTCTACAGGAAATAGATTATTTTCCCATCATTCTGATTATAAAAATATATTATCCTTCGTGTAAATGATAAAAAAGGAAACATAAATGATTTAAATGTCAAGGAAAAAAAGTCATCATTATATGAGATTATATAAAATAATTAATAAACTGAGATTCAGGAGAAATCCAAAGGAAATGGATGCCAAACTATTTATCATGGGATTATCTTCTCATTCATGATGTACAATCATGAATAAGGCAGCCACCGCTGGCCTGGGGCGGCTGCACGCCGGCGCCACCATCAGGAGGCCATGCAGGTGAAGCGTCTTGCCCAAGGACACAATGGAAATGAAAGCCGGGGATTGAACCAACAACCCTCTGGTTGCAGAGCAGCCTCCTTCATCTGACGCCTCCATTCAGCTCACTGTAGGAATGAAATCCTGTAATTTATATAAATTATTTTCTTTCCAATTCAGTCATTTAACGCCGTATAATTATTAACAGTTAAGTTTGTTAAATAAATGTAGATATTTTTGTTCCAAATCAGCTTTTGGATGAATTAATTTCTCAGTAATTTTGTTTGAAGCATAAACATCATTTCATCAATATCAGCTTAATTTAATAAAAGTTATTTTGCTGAACAAACATAATTTATCTTTACTATAAAAAGTTCAATTTAAACTTAAAGGAATTATTACTGTAGCTGGACAGTTTAACTAATTCAACTTTAGCGTTAACTAATGACTTGGTTACTTTATTAGAAAAATATCTCCAATTATTGTTAAAATCTGTTTGTTTCTTTAACCTTTATCTGTTGTGATATCAGAACCTTCTATCGTTCAGCTTTATTACCAATTTAAACATCATTTAACTGCTTTGTTCTGAAAACAGTAGAGAGGAAAGAATGAGCCGCAGAAACTAGAAGCTGTCCTTATTTTATAGTTTAACCTTAATTATTGGCTCAGCTCATCGTTATCCGTCGGGTCACATGATCGGCGGTAAGATGGTGGCTCCTTGGTCTAATGAGCTGCAGGGAATTTAAGTCGTCGATAAACAGTGAACCAACAGGGAGACTTTCTGGATCATTTTAAAAGACTAAATTTATTGAGACAAAGACATTAAAAAAGAAATAAAAGCCCCCCCATCAGGCCGTCCTCTGGTCACCAGCCAAAGACGTACTCCATGGCTTTGGAAACCAGGCTGTCGTCTTTCCTGGGAGTCTGTCTGTCCGCCACCACCTGAGGGAGGAGGAAACGCGTTCACAGCTGCTCCACCTGAACGGCTTAGGGTCACCTGGGCTGCGCTTACCTGGTAGTCGCTGCCGGAGCTCTTGTAGGAGGCGCTAAGCGGCCGGATGGCAGAGCGAGGGGTGGAGGGGAGGGCAGAGGAGGAGACGGAGAGGGGGGGGGGGGCGGCCTCGCTGCTCCCCATCACGCTCTGGGAGGAAGAAGGAGGCGCCATGATGCTGCTGCTGCCCAGCTCAGCTCACATTCAAAGAAAAGGCCCACAGCATCACCCACCTTCTCTATGCAGGGCTTGACTCCCACCATGATGGCGTCTCCAAACACCTTCCCGTCTTTAGACAGCGCCTTCCTGGCCTGCAGCCTGGACTGGTACTGCAGGTGCATCCAGTTACCAGGAGACGCCATCTGCAGACAGAGGAGCAGTGAGAAGCAGCTAGGCTAAAAGTGGCGAGCAGCAGGGGGGCGGAGCCTCACCGTGTGTTTCAGGATGTTTCCATACTGAGCGAACTGCAGCAGGATGTAGGAAGCCGAGGCTGGAGGGAACCTGAAACAGGAAACGCATCAGAGCCTCGCTCAGGGCGGTTAGAAATGGACAGAGTGACCATAGCAGCCAGAGACACGCAGCAACCAGATGACGTCATGATGACATCACCAGACGTTTTACAGAAGTAGAGTTTGATGGAAACTCACTGAAGGATTCACGTCCTGAATAAACAGGTTTATTTTCCTCCCATGATCAGCTGTTTCCTCTGATGCTAATGGCTAACGCTAGCTAACTGATCAAGCTAAGGCTAACCTGACTGAAACGCTGATTAAACCCGCCTCCATCACTGATCCACTTCCTGTTTACTGCAGCCAACCATGACCTAAACGCCTGCTGTCGCAGTGCTGATGACGCCATATTGATTTTCACTCATCAACCAATCGAGGAAACAGAATAAACACTGCCGTCGTCTGATTGGACGCCTCTGGAAACAGACGGATCCTCACTAAATGAACACCCCCCCTGAATCTCGAGTTTCCTCCTGAATGGCAGAGGGTTGATGATTAGACGTATTTTATGCAGAACCCTTGATATTATTACATTGATGGTTAGTATTAACGTTTTGGTCTGTAAGAACATTATAAAATGTTAACATTGTTATATCGTGGGTTCAGCAGGTTCAGCTTTGCTCCGCCTGGTTAACAGATACAAACATGTGGGATTCTCTCTCGTCTTAAAGTCACTAAAAGCTGGAATGAGGTGTTGCAGGAAACACGGCTGCTTCCAGGTGAACTGGGAGGAGTCAGGAGGCCTGAGTACCCAAAGACGGTGACCCAGGTCTGGTCCAGCTGGTCTTCAGAGGACAGAGACTCCCCCTGACTGTAGAACGGATCCACCTGAGCCGGAGAGAGGCAGCTCTGCTGCAGGCCTGGAGGAGACAGGAGGCTGTAAGCTGCAGGGACGAGGCCAGTCAGAGGGGGGGATGGGGGGGCGTACCTGTTCCTGGAGTGGAGGCCTGGCGCCCAGAGAGGGGGGTCTGCATGACTGGGAAGGACTGGAAGGAAGCAGAAACAGAGAAAGTGATGATCTGTGCTGCCTTGCTCACCAACCGTGGCAGCTGGGTGATAATCCCAGGATTTTATTCCCTCCATCGTGGAGCTAATCTGCTCTGAAGAAGCTCCTCACTCCTCCTCAGTAACGCTTTCAGACGCCTCTTCATCTGGAAAGATAAGCTCCTCCCCTTTGGCCTCTAACCGTCTCCTGATACCAGGTGAAACGTCTTCAGTCCTCGCTGCCGCCGCGGCGCCGCCACCCAGGCTAACAAAGTCTGGCTTTTTCTCAGGACACATTTTCTCCGCCGTCTGCATCGCGTCATCTTTGATAAAGTCTCTCTGGACAAAGTTCGCAGTTCTTCAACTTAAACATCGCCGCTTCAGAACTCGCCTTCATACAAGCTTCGTTTCACGGACTCAAAGCTTCTAGTTGCTGCAGTTCTTCGCTGCTTTCATTGGCGGTTAGCTTGCGTTAGCTTAGTTAGCATGTTTCGTCTGGTGGCGCCTTTTTTATTCTTCATTGTTTATTAGCTTTTTCAACTCATACAGGAAAAGTTTAGTAAAGAAGCATAAAAGCTTCTTATACCCCCCCCCCCCCCCCCCCCCGAAAGATAGGAAAAATAAAATAAACAAACGGGGGTCCCTGTAAATATTAAATCCTTTGAAAACAGCCGCAGTCTCTTGGTAAATTAGGAGAAAAATGACTCCGATTTCCACGTCCTTAAAACGGCGGCCATCTTTGTCAACTTTCCTCTTTCATAGCAGCTGCCATTTTGGAAATGGATTAAAAATATTCCCCTGGTTATGCAGGAAAATGCAGTCAGCTCATTGATCACAGAGCGGGACGGGAAAGGAAGTTCACCTTAAACTCATCTTACTTTTAATGCCATTTTTCTGACTGTTTTTCTTCAGTCAGTAAAGCGGGACTTGCTGCGGCGACAGAATCCGGATGATTCTGCTTTTCAAGCGCAGCTCGTTATGAGCCTGCAGGTCGACTGCACACCTGTGGGAACATAAAGCTGCTTCTTCATATCTGTGGATTGGTGACTGTGGGAAACTGCTGGCAGGCAGCGGGAGCTAGATTTAGCACGGCGGCCGAACATGTCTGACATAGAAACCAGAAGCTGAAGGAGGAAAGTTAATTAGATCAGATCAAACTATAAGAATCAGGAGAAAAGCTGTTAAAATCAGAACGCCGTCGTTTCTCCGTCTGGATTCATTCAGTCATGTTTATCCGTCTCCATCAGCTGCTGTTATCTAACAGCTATTAACAGGTTAGCCTCCGTTAGCTCGCTAAGCTAGCCATGTTAAGCTAACCTACAACAACCATCTATTTCCTACAAGAAAAACTGATTTCTTTGTCCTAATCTAAGATGATCCTCTGTCCCAGCGGTGGTTCTGGCTCCATCTTAGATTTAGTCTCAGTCTTTAGGACGGAAACTATTTTTAGTCTTAGTTCCATTTTAGTCGTTACGATATGTTATAGTTTTAGCCGGTTTTAGTCGACCAAAACTTAAAGAGGTTTTAGTCAGTTTTATGATGCAACAAACAATTTGCTATAAGAACCAGACTGTTTCCCAGACTGACAGCTCTATCCTAGATGCTACAGTAGCTGGGTATAGAAAGCTGCCGTGCAGATCAGCATTTCTGATGGACAGAAAACTTTGATTAATAGAATTCAAATAAACCTTTTTATGAATTAATGTCCTACTTTATAAAACTATTGGTTAATATCGCAGACAGACAAGCTGATAAAATGTCCAATAAAGGAACGATTTTAGAGGTTTGCATCCAAAGCAAACACTTCCTGATCTACTAGGAATTCTGCATTAAACAGATCAATAAAATCTATATTACTCAGAAAAGCATCTGGATCTTTATCCAGAAATAAACAGAAAGGAATGAAATATTAGCTCTGGATATAATTTAGGGATTCCTGTTGGTAGAAATGAAAGAATGTTTAGCATCACCTCTAAAATCTAGATAGTTAGACAAAGGGATTCTTTACGCTTGGCAGAGGATGATCAGCCACATCTAGTTTATTAAGTAGCGAGAGCAGGAAGAGCCGCACTGCTGAGAGCGAAGCATCAGAGCGGAGCGTAAAGCGCAGACTCTGAGCTAACAACACATTTCTGCACAGCTGGAAGATCAGAGTTAGTCAGAGTTCAGCGCGCCGTACCGGATCATTCTGCTGCTGCCATGATCCATCTGAGCTGCTGCAGAACGAGCAGCGCTGCACGCCAGGTGGGCGTGGCCAGACAGGACGCAGCAGCCCGGCTGATCCTGCTTAGATTACAGCATAATGATGCAGTTTAAACGTCTGACCGACCCGCTAACATTGTCATGCAGTCTCATCCCTTCATCAGAAGCTCGCACCATGAGACGCCATGTTTTCATCATCAAAGATCCGCGTTTAACTCATCGTCAGGAAAAATAATCATTTCCTCACGGTGGATGAAAACAGCACAGCTGCTGCGCTCCGTCGTTTGAGCGGCGCCTCGTTAAACGGAGGTTGGCTTAGATCGCATTGCCGCTTTCATCACTGAGAAGGATGGATTTCTACTTTAGGTCGCCGTGGAAACGTAAACATAACACAGGGATCATGAGCCGAGACCAGGAGAGGTTCCATCCTGAAGAACCAGAACAGAGTGGGGTTGCTGTGCTGTGACATCATCAGCTGGGGCCCCCCCCCACCGCTCTACCAACCTGCTTGTTAGCACTGAGGGGTGTCCCCATGGTGACCAGGTCGTCATAGATACTGCGAACGGGCGGCGCTCCACTCTTGTCCTTTGGCGTAGGGACGACGGGCTGCGGGGCCGACCCCCCCCCTCCTCCTCCTCCTGGGGAAACATTTCAGCACAGACAGTCAGTCTGATCTAACCACCACAACCATAGATCTACAATCTTAGATGCTGGATCCGCTGACCTCGGCCTGAGCCCAGGCTGTCCGCCATGGGCGAGCTCAGGCTGAAGGGGCGGGGCTGCAGGCTGGCTGGGGCGGGCAGGTCACCCATCAGGAACCCTGGAAGGAACTGAGCTCCAGAGGTGGGTTTAGGGGAGGTGGGGGAGCCCAGAGTCATCGGTTCAGATCCCACTGGAAGAGAGGAGGCGCAGTATTGAGCTGGGAGGAGGCGCAGGGAGCAGATCCTCCTCCTAAACTTCTCTAATGGATGGATTTAACATTTTAATTGATTTATTGTTTCCAGGTCATGTGACCTGCTGCCTGAAACTGTTCTGCTGAGGAACACTCTTTATTTAAGCTTTTCTAGATCTATATTTCTTATAAAGTTTATAAGCAGCTAAAAACAGCAGCAGCTTTAGTAAATAAAAACAGAACCTTCCTGCTCATCAGAGGAAACTAGCAGCAGTTAGAGAACAGCAGGAATTCACCTGGAAGATCCATCTGAGGCTTCTTCTTCTGCCGCCGCGGGTTTCAACAACAGGAAGTGACGAAATGAAGAACGGTGGCTAACACAGCTAGCTCCTGTTAGCCTCCTTCTGTCACATAAAGCTACGATAAATTCAGGATCTAGAAAGATCTAAAACAGTCAGACTTTCAGCGCAGCTGGATGGATGGAGCTGATGGCGGGTTTATGCTGTTTCCGGCGCAGGTAGATGACGTCACCGACATGTTTTTCAAAATCGTTAGGTGAGTTTTACCGCCACCAGCTGGTGAGTAGGGTGAATCACATGGCAACAAAGAAATAACTACATCCTGTTAAACAATTCAATCTGTTTTAAAAACTCTAACCTGATTTCCTCTGATTCAACAATGTCAGCTTTTATTTTATGTCACTGAGCAACTAATTAACTTGTTTCTCTGAATCAAATGTTTCCTAAAATCTTCCACCGCCTCTCATTTCCCTTTGATGTTTGCCTGTTAAAAATAATCAGCTGTTCAATCAGAGGCTCTGAGTCTAAATAATAAATAAATAATAAATCTCTCTTCCTCTCATTTGTCTAATTATCTTTTGGATTTTATTGAACCACCTTTCTTTCTCTTCTTCTTCCCTTTTGCTATCTCTCTTTTGTTTTTTTATTTTACCCTTTATCTCTGTTATCCTAACATGAATATCTATCCTGACCTTATCTGTTCTCTCCTTCGCCATCCTGTTTCATTTCCCTTCATCTCGTTATGCGCCGGAACCCAAACAGAATGTTCTACCATCGTATTTATTCTGTAATGAATATATCTGTCCTGCTGTCTGACTGATTATTTTAACTGACTAATGATGAACTGGAATCTGAACAAATGATAGATTTTAATGGTCTAACTTCTTCCACCCATTGAACTGCTAACAGCATTTATCCTCTTTAAACTCCATCACTTTTCCTGCCTTCATCACCGACATGTTCATGGAAGTCTAAAGTTTTTAATACATTTTTTTTATTATACCAATATATGTACAAACAAATAATTCAAAGTGCATGAAGAGGCACATTTAGGTCCTGAGAATATCAGCTTAATTTAAACAACATAAATAAGTTAATTTCCATCAGTGGGAAATCTTCATATTTTAAATGTTCCAGAGATTTCAGATTTTGCTCACAAGAAGAAGAAGAGGTGCAGAAAGAGAAGCCAGTTGGTGCATGCAATGTGCTCTCACCCTCTCACTCTATCACCCTCTCACTATATCACCATCTTACTCTCTCACTCTATTAGATTAGATTATATCCAACTTTATTGTCATTAGACAGGTACAGGTACAAGGCAACCAAATGCAGTTTAGCTCTAACCAGAAGTGCAATAGCAGCAGTGAAGGATAAATAATGGTTCCATAAATTCAGGACATGGTTCTACTGAATGAGTATAGAGATGAATTCCATTATAAACAGAATCTTACTAATAGATGAATATATTATATAGATAACTAGTGTTATGAACTAAATTTACAGCTGAATATTTACTGAATATAATATACAGATGGATATTACTATAAAAGTGTTATTACAGTTATGTACAATAGCATATATAGATGGATTTTACTATAAAGTAAATAAATAAAGTTTGGACAGAAGCTCTTTAAATTAAAGTGCAGCGGAAGGTAAATGCATATTACAGTTAAAATACATTATTGTAAATGTAAACAATTGGTGCTGTGAATAAACAGTCGGCAGTGCAGATCAGTATTCAGTCAAGGTGAGTAGTGCAAGATGCATGTAAAGAGTTGTTACTATGGTAACAGTCAGGAGTGCAGGTGAACATTACAGTCTTGTAAATAACAGAATAGCAAAATGGTGGTAGGTGTGAGGAAGGAGAGGAGAGTCTATCAGTGAGGGTTAGAGTTCAGTAAAGAGACAGCTCTGGGCAAAAAGCTGTTCTATAGTCTGCTGGTTCTGGTCCGGAGGCACCTGAAACGCCTGCTGGTGGGCAGGAGAGGAACCAGTCTGTGGGCTGGGTGGGATGAGTCCTTAATGCTGCGGGCTCCATGCAGGCAGCGTTTCTCCTGCTCAATGGTGGGTAGTGGAGTCCCAGTGATGCGCTGGGCGGCTTTCACCACCTGCTGCAGTGCCTTGCGCTCTGCAACAGAACAGCTTCCATACCGCACTGTTACACAGTTGGTTAGGATGCTTTCTATTGCACAGCGATAGAAGTTCACCAGGATAGTTGAGGGGAGCTGATTCTTCCTCAGTGTCCTCAGGAAGAAGAGGCGCTGGTGAGCCTTCTGGACCAGGCAGGAGGTGTTGGTTGACCAGAACATGTCCGCTGAGATGTGGGTTCCCAGAAACTACAGGGCGGTAGTCGTTAAGGCACCTTGGGCTGGAGTGTTCTGGCACTGGCACAATGGAAGTGCATCTGAAGCATGTTGGTAGAGCTGCTTGGGCAAGAGACAGGTTGGAAATGTCTGTAAAACCCCAGCGAGCTGCTCCGCACGTGCCCTGAGTACAGGTCCAGGGATGTTATCTGGTCCAGCTGCTGATCCTGGTCCAGCTGCTGATCCTGCTCGGTGCATTGCAGACATCTGTGGAGGAGAGTGTGATTGCCGAGTGGTCGGCTGAGGATTCCAGCTTGGTGGCAGTTTCACTGTTATCTCTTTCAAAGTGAGCATAAAAGTCATTCAGCTCGTTCAGGAAGTTGACATCAGTGGCTTCAGAGGTGGGATGAGTGGGTTTATAGTCACTGATGTCATTAATTCCCTGCCACATGCTTCGGGGGTCAGCGTTGTTGTCCCTCTATCTTAAGCTTGTAGCAGTGCTTGGCCTCTTTGATGCCCCTTTCAGGTTTCCTCTGGCTGTGCTACAGGCTGATGCATCTCCTGATCTGAAGGCAGTGTTGCGTGTCTTCAATAGGAGTCGCACCTTCCTGTTCATCCATGGCTTCTGATTTGGGTTTGTGATGATCTGCTTCTGGGCTGTAACATTGTCAATAGTGGTAATAATATAATCCAGTACAGAGAAGGCGTAACAGTCAATGTCCGTGTGAGAGCCACTGGTGGCTTGACAAGCAAACATACTCCAGTCTGTGTGTGGGAACCTTTCCTGAAGTGTTGAATCTGCTCCCGCAGGCCACAGCTTGATGGTCTTCACTGATGGCTTCACACCATTGATGAGGGGTGCATATTTGGGGGTGAGGAACAAAGAAAGGTGATCTGACTATCCCAGGTGGGGGAGGGGTGTCGTAACGTAGGCTCCAGCCACGTTTGTGTAAACGTGGTCTAAAGTTTTGTTTCCTCTGGTGTGGCAGAGAACATGCTGGTGAAACTTTAGAAGCACTGACTTTAGCTTTGAATGATTAAAATCACCTGCAACAATAAACGCAGCTTCTGGGTGAATGGTCTGTTGTTTACTGATTGCTGCGTGAAGAGTTTAGCACATTTTCCCAAAGTAAGAGTTGTAGTGTGAACTAGATGAGGTTATCTATGTTTGGAGGCACTACAATGATCTATAGTGTAATTATTGGCTATTATATGCTTAGTATAGTAACAATGAATAAATCTCCAAAAATAAAGTTTGGCCTATCTTCCCAAAGTAAGAGTAGTAGTCTGATCCAGATGAGCTTATCTTTTATCCTACAAGCTTGGTGTCATTTGTCATTTAGGCTTTTGGAAATTCCTCAGAAAAGTATTAGTTTCCAATCCAATAAATGTGATAATAATCCATCTCTCCTTGGTGACGCTTTCTCTCTGATTATTTAGCAACTTGCAGAGCTCGCTCCTCCTGCATATTTTTGGAGCAGTTAGCTCCCTATATAGTCCAATGTAATTCTCCCAGCACGATAGGAGTCTTGTTTTTAGGAAACTACGGTAGTAGCTCACTGTCTGCCTGGCTGTGGCTGCAGAGAGGTGTCTGTTCTGTAGAATAAATCATCCGCCGAGGAGTTATTAATCCGGAAAAGCAGAATCTGTGAATATATTGCCAACTTTACTGCAGTTTGACGATGCTGTCTGCATGTCTGCAGCGGAGGAGAGAGGAGTTATATTTCCCCCCAAATAAATAACAGTCATTATTGTATAAATATTGTTGTTTTCTAAGGCGTTCCAGCTCATGCAGCTGTTTTCATTGATAGATCAGTTATCATCTGATCGCTGCGCTGGTGGCTGCGCTGAAATCCCCCCCTCTCAGGTAAAACAGTCTCAAAGAGAGAGACTTGAGCTGAAACTGAAACTGAAGGGGTTGCAATGGTTCTCCAGCCACAGCGGTAATGGGTCATTTACATCATGAGTTGATGAGTACTGGGGGGGGACTGGAGGCTGAGGAATATTCTCGTATCTATTGGTTTTCTAGTGTTAATGTAAATGCACATCACCCTCTCCCTTTCTATCAACCCCTCACGATATTACTTTCTCATCTTATCATTCAATCACTCTCTCACTCTATCACCCCCTTACGCTATCACTCTCTCACTCTCACTCTTTCACCCTCTCACTCTATCGCTCGCTCTCTCACTCACTCTATTACACTATAACCTCCTAACTCACCCTCTCACTCTATCTGCCACTCACCTTCTCATTCACTCACTCTATCAATCACTCTCTCATCCTATCATTCAATCACTCTCTCACTCTATCACCCCCTTACTCTATCACTGTCACTCCATCACCCTCTTACATTGTCACTCTACCTATCTCACCCTTTCACTCTATCACCCTCTCACTATATTACTCTCTCATCCTCTTACTCTATCACTCTCATTCTATTGCCCTCTCACACGATCACTTTTTTACTCACCCTCTCACTCTATCATCCTCTCACCTTCTCAGTTACTCACTCTATCATTTTTTCACCCTCTCACATTATCACTTTCTCATTCACCCTCTCAGTCTAATAAGAGGGTGAGTGACAAAGTCTTTTAACTTTCTCACTCTATCGCTCTATCACTCCCCCTCTCACTCTCTTTTTTTACTCTATTACTCTGTCACCCTCTCACACTATCACTCACTCTAAACCGCTATCACTCTCTCACACACCCTCTCACTCTATCTGCCGCTCACCTTGTCATTCGCTCACTCTCTCATTCTATCACCCTCTCACTCACTCTGTTACACTATCACACTCTCAATCACCCTCTCACTTTATCTGCCACTCACCTTCTCATTCGCTCACTCTCATTCTATCACCCTCTCACTCACCCTTTCACTCTATCTGCCCCTTACCTTCTCAGTCACTCACTCTATCATTCTTTCACCCTCTCACATTATCAGTCGCTCTATCACCCTCTCACTCTATCATCCTCTAACCTTCTCATTCTATCACTCTCCCACTCGTATCACTCTCTCTGTATCACGTCACTATCTCCCACTCACCTACTCATTCACTCACTCGCTCACCCTCTCACTCTCTCATTCTATCACCCTCTCACATAATCACTCTCTCACTCACCCTCTCACTCTATCACCCACTCTATCACTCACCCTCTCGCTCTATTTTTTTTACTCTATCGCTCTATCACCCTCTCACACTATCACTTTCTCACTCACTCTAACACACTATCACTCTCTTACTCACCCTCTCACTCTATCATCCTCTCACCTTCTCATTATATCACTCTCCCATTCTCTAACTCGTATCACTCTCTCAGTATCACGTCTACTCGGCTGTAAATGAAATCAAAGTCAGGAAAGCAAAATGAACCCATTTACTGCAGAAAGCTGTCAGGTCGTGATTGATTGGGAACCCTTTAAACTCTGAGTTTAGAATAAAAGTCTTTTAACTTTCTGGTTCTGAGGATCATCAGGATTAGCATCATCTTATGACAGCGGCAGCCATTTTCCTTTTCAGTTTTAGATGCTATAAAAGATTATATAAATTATTACATAATTTCAGATTGTTTGAGCACTTTTCAAAGGTGTTGTACCTTTTGTAGGACAAAGATAATTATTTAATGAGGCTTATTAGAGTTAAATCAAGTTAACATAAATATTAAAGCTTTAGTTTCAAAATAAAAGTCTAAATTCTGCTGAAGTCTTGGAAAGTTTTCCCGCTGCAGAGACTCCAGGATCACAGGAGGAGGAGGTCCTCAGTTTGCCCTGGAACAAGAGACCGGAAGTGACCCGTTACCGGAAGTGACCTCAGTTGGTCCGGCACGAGCCGGATGCTGATGCGGATCTTCACCTGCAGCCTGGAGGTAAGAAGCTGCTGGAAGGAGGGTTAGGGTTCTGGAGGTTCTGGAGGTTCTGGATGTTGGTTCCTCAGCAGGAACATCTGGGATTATCTGCGTGTAGCTCTGAAGCTAAGCAGCTAACAGGCTGCAGCTAGCTTAGCTTAGCATCCTCCAGGAAGGTTTAACACCGAGGAAAACACTTTTCTGAAGTTAATCTACAAACGGAGAGAAAATGTTTATTTTCAGGTAGAAAAGTTTCAGTTTGTTCTTCTGGTTCCTCTGAGACTCAGTGAGCAGCTCACGATTTAAAGGCTTTAAATGTTTTAGGTTTAAAGGCTTTAAATGTTTAAATGTTTTAGGTTTAAAGGCTTTAAATGTTTAAATGTTTTAGGTTTAAAGGCTTTAAATGTTTAAATGTTTTAGGTTTAAAGGCTTTAAATGTTTTAGGTTTAAAGGCTTTAAATGTTTAAATGTTTTAGGTTTAAAGGCTTTAAATGTTTTAATGTTTTAGGTTTAAATGCTGTTAAAAGTTTAAATGTTTTAGGTTTAAATGCTGTTAAAAGTTTAAATGTTTTAGGTTTAAATGCTGTTAAAAGTTTAAATGTTTTAGGTTTAAAGGCTGTTAAATGTTTAAAAGTTTTAGGTTTAAAGGCTTTAAATGTTTAAATGTTTTAGGTTTAAAGTCTTTAAATGTTTAAATGTTTTAGGTTTAAAGGCTTTAAATGTTTAAATGTTTTAGGTTTAAAGGCTGTTAAATGTTTAAATGTTTTAGGTTTAAAGTCTTTAAATGTTTAAATGTTTTAGGTTTAAAGGCTTTAAATGTTTAAATGTTTTAGGTTTAAAGGCTTTAAATGTTTAAATGTTTTAGGTTTAAAGGCTGTTAAATGTTTAAATGTTTTAGGTTTAAAGGCTGTTAAATGTTTCAATGTTTTAGGTTTAAAGGCTGTTAAATGTTTAAATGTTTTAGGTTTAAAGGCTGTTAAATGTTTAAATGTTTTAGGTTTAAAGGCTGTTAAACTGATTTTTCTGGTTTTCATTCATTAGTTTTTCTGTTTGTCCAGAAATGAGGCGAATTCAGAAACCTTAAGTTTTCTGAATTCATATCTTCAGGTAACACAGAGTACATGTCAGACTTAATAATATTACTTCAGCGATAGTTTCAAGGTGTTGCTTTATTGTATATCTCGTACCGTGTCTTTCGGTTGTGCTGTTCTTTTTTCATCTCGTTACAGGTGATGAAGCAGACTGAAAATGTTTGGTCATTGTCTCCTTTCTATCTCTTCTTTCTTTCATCTTTTCTTTTTCTTTTTTTTCTTTTTCCCTTCTTCTGTTTTTCTGCTCTACACACATTCCAGTGTCCATATAAACTGTAAAACTCCCTGCATAATTATAATAAAGCTATTTATATGCATGAAACAAGTGGAGCAATATGGCTATTGCCATATTGCTCCACTTGTGAAAGTTAAATCTGTTGGGCTCCTTTTGGCATCAAGACAATTATTCTTATTGCCACATTGCCAGACAGGACACTGCTAAAAAAAACAAAAAAAAAGAAACCTGAAGGTTTGGATTAATGTAGCTTTAGGGCTGCTAACCAGTTAAACTAATGAACCAGTTAACTAATGAACCAGTTAAACTAATGAACCGGTTAACTGATAAAGTATTTGACCAAAGCTTGGAGGGAGATTAAGAAATAATTAGGACACCCTGTCAGGGTTGGAGGTTTAATAATAATAATAATCATTTAAATGTTTCACACAGTCATTATTATTTTCTATATTGTGGTGATTTCCAGAGAACTGAAGTAAAGCAGAATGGGCTCTACTAAAATATTAGCACCTTAACTAAACTAAGAATTTTATATTATTCTATAAAGTTCAAATGAATATAATAAATAGTCCTAAATTCCAACAGGAGTTTATTCATTCAATTATTATTTAACTTGGGAGCAAAACATGGATTAAAACTGGGACTAAATCAGGAGTAAAGCTCTTTATAAAAGCACTAAATGTAGAGAAAACAAACCACTGGATGTGATCCAAGGTGATCATTTAAGCTAGCTGCTGTTTGTTTTATTCATATTTACTAAGTAAATATGTAATCTGAGTACTAGATTACTTCATTCATTTACAAAGTGAATTATTTTAGTCCAGATTAGACTCAGTCTGCTCAGAAATCCTGGTTCTGCGGACCGGATCTGAACCCGGACTGTTAGCACTGAGGTTGGGATGAAAACACGGACTGGATTTTTATCCGCCTGGTCTTTTCATATATAAATAAATGGGATGGAGTTTTTAGCGTGAATAATTGGTGATGTGGAGTGAGAGCGTGAGAAGACACTGAGAGACACTCACCCATATGGGTGAGATTCACCCACATGGGTGAGAGTTGGCAGCCCTGCTGTTCCTGCTGCTCGTTATTAACGGGGACGTTTATCCGTTACTGAATTAGGTTTCCAGCTGCAGGAAGCCATCAAACGTTTCTGAAGGTAAATTTATTTTCCCTCCTTCACCTGCAGGTTCTCCTGGACTGGGATGGGGTCCACGGCGGTCCACGGCGTCCAACAGCCTGCCAGGCTCACGCTGTCATCTCTGCTCCTCGCCGCCGCCCTGCTGGTGGCGGTTTGTGCCGAGGGGTCGGACTACTACCAGCTGCTGGGGGTGAGCAGGGAAGCTACAACCAGAGAGATCCGACAGGCTTTTAAGAAGCTGGCGCTCACCATGCACCCCGACAAGAACCCTGTGAGTCCCTGAGAGGAGACGGCTGAAAGCTGAACCAATCACAGTCCGTCTCCAGGTATTAACGCTGCTGATTGGCTGCCTAGGGCGACGCCTCGGCTCACGACAAGTTCCTGAAGGTGAACCGGGCTTATGAGGTGCTGAAAGATGAAGACCTGAGGAAGAAGTATGACAAGTACGGAGAAAATGGATTGGACGAGCAGCAGGGAGGGCGCTACGAGAGCTGGAACTACTACCGCTACGACTTTGGTAAGGCCCCGCCCACCGCTGCGTGATGCTGTGATCCGCCACGGCGTCCCAGCTGATGGGTCAGGACGTCTGTTTCAGGCATCTATGATGACGACCTGGAGATCATCACTCTGGACAGCGGCGACTTTGGTGAGTTTTAGTTGGTAACCATGGAAACCACGAGGAAGAAGGGTGGGTCAGCGGACGGCCATGTGCTTCTGTGTTTGTTTTCTAGAAGCAGCAGTGAACTCTGGAGAAATCTGGTTTGTCAACTTCTATTCCCCTCGATGCTCGCACTGCCACCAGCTGGCCCCCACGGTGAGCAGGCCTCGCACACCCGTCACTATTCACTCACTATGGCTGCCTGGAAGCTTAGGGTTACAATTATTAGACTGTTTCTTTAAACGATCCAGATGAACTATTGCATCAATCCCACCCCCCCACCCCCGAGGCGCTGCGTTCCAGTTACATCTGAGTCGCACTGGTCTTCTCACTCCAGCCCTGTAGGGGGCGATATACGCTGAGTAGCATGCTAGCTGGAAGTCTCACCACAAACGATGCGCTGAAGGCTTTCCCAGCCGAATCAAAGGGAATTTAAAAATAAAATCAGTTTCTTTTATGTTGCCATGGTGATCTTTGGCCAAAGGGCGGAGCCATCCTGAACCATCAGCTGACTCAGTGGGGAGGAAAGCTTTAAGAGGCCGACCCTGAACGGGTCCGCTACACTCAGAGTGATTGGCTGCTGTCAGGTGGAGCTCCCAGCATCCCGGGGGGGGAGCCCAGGGGGGGGAGCCAGGCCTCCCTGGGTTGAAGGCTTCAGCTGGATCCGTTCAGAGGAAGATATCTGAGGCTTCCAGACCAACAGTGAGGGTTTTACTGTTTCCTGTTTGTGACGCAGTGGAGGGAGTTTGCCAAGGAGATGGACGGAGTTATCCGCATCGGAGCGGTGAACTGTGGAGACAACAACCATCTGTGCAGGAGGAAAGGCATCAACAGCTACCCCAGCCTCTACGTCTACAGAGCAGGACAGGTTGGTGCTCCTCAGCAACCAACAGCAGCTGTTTATTCTAAAGCTGGTCACCGCTGCTCCATGGCCGCCATTTTACAAGCCTTAGAGGATGAAGAGCAGAACGCGTTGAGTGGAGATGGAAGGAAACCTTCTCTTCTCTCTACCTGTTCTGCTGCAGCGGGTTAGAAACAGGAGCAGGGTTGCTTTTCTCTCTGCAGCCGTAATCATCCCTCCTGTTTCTGCAGAGGCCAGAGAAGTTCACCGGGGAGAGGAATAAAGATGACCTGCTTCGCTTCTCCATGCAGTTCATCACCACTACAGTCACCGAGCTGTGGCAGGGTGAGCCCTTCCAGCTTTCTACCCATAATGCACCCTGCCTGGAGCAGGGGCTCCATCTTCTGTTCAGTGTAGCTGCAGGTGTGGCTCTCAGAGCTCCTGCTGATGTTTGAGTCAAAGTGAGCAGAGAGCAGCCGCCATATTGCTGGGAGCAGAGCACTGATTAGATCCCTGAACCACGTTCCCCTTTACTCCATTATTCCTGAAATGAACGCGTTCCCAGAAGCACTGCGGTGGAGAGCTGCGATGCGTTCAGCCTTCCTGTTATCTGCTGAATGGGCTGTTCTCTCCAAACTTGATCAATCTAATGCTACGTTCACAGCTAAAGCAGCAGAGGCAGCT